ATGGAAAGAGAGGTCCAGGAAGGAGAGAGAGGTATCGGAGATGGTCCAGGTGAACTTATGGTTGGGGTGGAAGGTGTTAGTGAAGTGGATGAACTGTTCGAGCTCCTCGTGGGAGCACAAGGCAGTGCCGATACAGTCATCGATGTAACGGAGAAAGAGTCGGGGATAGGGCCAGTGTAGCTTCGGAAGAGGGATTGTTCCACGTATCCTGCAAAGAGGCAGGCATAGCTTGGGCCCATGCGGGTACCCATGGCCACCTCCTTTGTCTGTAGGAAGTGGGAGGAATTGAAGGAGAAGTTGTTAAGGGTGAGGACGAGTTCAGCTAAGCAGATAAGGGTGTGTCAGTGGAGGAGGACTGGTCGGGCCTGTGGGACAGGATGAAGCAGAGGACCTTTAGGCCATCTGCATGGGGAATGCAAGTGTATAGGGACTGGACATCCATGGTGAAGATGAGGTGTTGGGGACCAGGGAATCGGAAGTTCTGGAGGAGGTGGAGGGCGTGGGTGGTGTCACGGATGTAGGTGGGGAGTTCCTGGACCAAGGGGGAGAAAATGGAATCGAGATAAGTGGAGATAAGTTCGGTGGGGCAGGAGCAGGCGGAGACAATGGGTCGAACAGGGCAACAAGGTGCAGGGCTGGATGAACACAGCAGGCCAAGCAGCATCATAGGAGCAGAAAGGCTGACGTTTCGGGCCTAGACCCTTCATCGAACAGGGCAGTCAGGTTTGTGGATTTTGGGAAGGAGATAGAAACGGGCGGTGCAGGGTTGGGGAATAATGAGGTTGGAGGCTGTGGATGGGAGGTCACCTGAAGTGATGAGGTTGTGGATGGTCTGGGAGACGATGTTATGGCAGTCGGGGGTGGGGTCATGATCAAGGGGGCGGTAGGAGGAGGTGTCAGAGAGCTGGCATCTGGCTTCGGTGATGTAGAGGTCAGTGCGCCATACTACAACTGCGCCTCCCTCTAGAGGTTTCCCTCTACTGACCCTTCTCCCACCTCCAACACACCTCTTCCTCCTGGACACCACACCAAGCCCTCCTATCCTCCCTTGACCTCTTCCTCTCCAACTGCTGTTGAGACATCAACCGCCTCAACCTCTCCACTTGTCTCACCCACTCCAACCTCCCCCCACAAAACGTGCAGCCCTCCGCTCCAATCCCAACCTCACCATAAAACCCGCAGACATGGGAGGCGCAGTTGTAGTATGGCGCACTGACCTCTTCATCGCTGAGGCCAGACGCCAGCTCTCTGACACCTCCTCCTATTCCCAATCCTATTCCCAATTCCTTCGCCTCCGCCGCATCTGCTCCCAAGATGAGGCATTCCACTCCCGGACATCCCAGATGTCCTCGTTTTTCAAGGACTGCAACTTCCCCTCCACAGTGGTCGAAAAAGCCCTCGACCGTGTCTCTCACATTTCCCGCAACTCATCCCTCACACCCCCTCCCCACAATAATAACCAAAAGAGAATCCACCTCGTCCTCACGTACCACCCCACCAAACTCCGGATCCAACGCATCATCCTCTGCCACTTCCGTCATCTGCAATCTGACCCCACTACCAAAGACATTTTTCCCTCCCCACCCTTATCTGTCTTCCGGGGGGACCACTCTCTCCGTGACTCCCTTGTCCGCTCCACACTCCCCACCAGCCCCACCACTTTTCCCTGCAACTGCAGGAAGTGCTACTCCTGCCCCTACACCTCCCCCCTCACCCCCATCCCAGGCCCCAAAAAAACCTCCCACTTAAACAGATGTTCACCTGCACATCTGCTAATATGGTATACTGTATCCGCTGTTCCCAATGTGGCTTCGTCTATATCGGGGAAACCAAATGGAGGCTTGGAGACCACTTTGTGGAACACCACCGCTCGGTTTGCAACAAACGACTGCACCTCCCAGTCGTGAACAATTTCAACTCCCCCTCCCACTCCTTGGACGACATATCCATCCTGGGCCTCCTTCAGTGCCAGAACAATGGCACCCGAAGGTTGCAGGAACAGCACCTCATATTTCGCTTGGGAACCCTGCAGTCCAATGGTAGCAATGTGGACTCACAAGCTTCAAAATCTCCTTTCCCCTGACCGCATCCCAAAACCAGCCCAGCTTGTCTCTGCCTCCCTAATCTGTCTGTCCTTCCTCCCACCTATCCACTCCTCCCACCTCAAGCCCCACCCTCTCTCTCTATTTATTTCAGAATCCCTTTCCCCTCCCCCATTTCTGAAGAAGGGTCCAGACTCGAAACGTCAGCTTTCGTGCTCCTCTGATGCTGCTTGGCCTGCTGTGTTCATCCAGCTCTACACCTTGTTATCTCAGATTCTCTCGCATCGGCTGTTCCCACTATCCCTGGATGGAGATAAAGAGTTCTTTTTCAGGTTGGCGACCTGTAATCAGTGGCGTTCCAACGGATCATTGCTGGGACTGCAAATATTTACAATATATATTAATGACTTGGGTGGAAAGAAGCGAATATACTGTAGCCACATTTGCAGAGACACAAAAATAGGTGGAAAGGCAAGTTGTTGTGGCGATACAAATAGACAGGTAAGTGGGCAAAAAGTTGGCAAATGTGAAATTATTCATTTCGGAAGCGAGAACAAAAGTTCTTTTTAAATGGAGAAACACTGCAGAAAACTGCAACACAGATTTGGGGGTACTTGTATGCAAAACAGTGAAAGCTAGCACATAGGTACAGCAGATAATCCAGAAGGCTCATGGAATGTTAGTCTGGGGGACCCTCTTGTGATGCAGTGGTAGTGTCCATTCCCAAGATCAGAAAGCCTAGCTTCAAATACCATCTGCTCTAGAGGTGTATAACATCTCTGAACAGGCTGATTAGAAAAATAGATTGAATAAAAAATTAATGGATGCTGGCCCTTATTTCAGAGAGACTTCAACTATAACAGTAGTCTTACTGCAATTGTAGAAGGTGCTGGTGAATCACATCTGAAGTACTGTGAACAGTTTTGGGCCCCTTATTTAAAGAAAGATGTAGTTTCATTGGAATAATCCCCAAATTGTCTTATGAGCAAAGGTGAAACAGTTTGGGATTCTTTTCACCGGAGTTTAGAAGAATGAAAGGTGATCTTATTAAAACATTCAGGATTCTAGAGTGGTTTGACAGGGTAAATGCTGAGAAGATGTTTCCCCTTATGGGAGAGTTTCAGACCTGAGGGCATGGTCTCAGAATTAAGAGGCACCAATTTAGGAAAGAGATGAGGAGAAATTTCTTCTCTTAGAGGGTTGAGAGTCTTTGGAATTCCTTGCCACAGAGAGCTGTGGGACTACTGTGTACTTAAGACTGAGACAGATGGATTCTTGATCGAATCAAGGAATCAAAAGGGAAAATGGAGGAAAATGGATGTTGGGAACTTTCGATCAGCCACTGTATGGTGCAGCAGGCTTGAAGGGCCAAATGGCTTACTCCTGTTCCTATTTCTTATGACCTTATGCCAAAGCAATCAGTTTTTCCCTATGTACTCTGTCTCGGTTTCACAAGATTTTTCAGGGAGGCCAGAAAGAACAAGATTGAGAAAGTGCTGTTAAGATTTGGAAAGGAAAGTTTTAATGGATTTTTATTTATGAATGATAACAGATAAGGGGTCAGCATTGGCATAGATGCACTTGGAGTGAACAGAAGAATACATGTAAGTTTCATTAGCATGTGGGCTCAGACATGGGTGGAGACAGGCAATAGTGCCAAGATAAATCTAACTCAGGATTTAAGTATGTGGAATGTACAAAAGTTCTAGCACAGGATCCTTTATTCCACTGGCATCAAACACAGACAGATTTGTATGAAAACTTTAAATAAATTAGTTTTTTTAAAATTTTAAACTGGATAAGCATTGGTCAACATACAAAAGCCATAAAAGCTCAACTCCTGGACTTGAAATCAACACAGTTTGCACTTGCTTGATAAAAAATGGGGACCATTGTGTGTTCAATTTAACAGGAGTGTGAGGTCTTGATCCTGAACATTTTTACTTTATCCCCTATTCCCAATCCTTATAAACCGTACTTTGGCTGTTAATTTGGATTTAAAAGCACATTGGAGAAACAATGTTGGGAGCCATGGTCTTATAGCACATCTTGTACAGTGTTTCTCATAACACGTGAGTCAGATAACCTAGCTGTCTATATCACATGGTATCTTCAGCTTCTCAGGGCTCCTCAGATTTAGTGGGATTCTACACTGACCAGAGTTTCCTCGTGTTTTTGTTACATGGGTTCTCACTCCAGTTGTCCAGAATAACATTGGCAAAGTTTTTTTTAAGATGTTAAGTGAACTGACCAGGTAGATAGAAATTTAATATAACCACTGGTTGAGCAGTTCAAGGTTTGAAAGCATAGCCTAACATTCGAGTCAGGCCCTTCAGAAATGGTTAAGAATTTTATGTCCACGTAAAGAGCGGTGTCGGTTTGCAAATCGTGATTGTGGCTAGATTATTTGTTAATTTTAAATCTGATTGATAATACTTTTGCTTAACAAGAAACTAAGAGAGATGGCGCAAAGGTAGGTAAAGAATTGTCACAGATCAGTCATGATCTCCCTCAAGAGCCGACAAAATGGCTTAACTTGCACCTTTATCTCTAACTTGTACCTATATTCTGAGACCTATTATCACCATCTCAGCTGGGACCAGTCAATACCAGCCCTGGAACTGACGAATGTTTTAACCTGCACTTAAGGTACAGGCATCCTCTACAGCTCCCTTGCGGGGGAAAAGAAAACACTGCGAAATGCTTCTGCTGTTTTCTGAACTGTAACACCTGACCTGGTCGCACAAAGATACCCATCACTCTTTTGTCATCGGGATAACGACTGGATTCCATTCTCCCTTTCTTCCCCCAAAACCTCACCGGGAACCAAAATGGCGCGCGCACACACACCGCCGCCCGTTCGAAACCCCCAGTCGTCATGGTTACAAACGGTTTTCCCTACCCAGCGAAGAAGGGCAGGAGCTATCGCGATATCTTTCGAAGTTTCTTCCTCCCCACCCCCACAACTCCGAACCCTCCCCCTTCTTCCCGGCAACATAACTCCATCGGTCGGTAATTGAAAACAGAGGAGCTCAGGCAGCGGAAAGCCTGGGGAAGGGGTGGGGACCAAAAGCAGACTGACTGACTGACTGGCTGGCTGGCTAACTAACTAACTAACTGTCGAACAAAAGATGTCCGGGGTCGTGGCGGAACTGGAGTGAGTGAGTGTCTGACCGGCTGACTTAGGTGTCAGGAATCCGGTCCAGAGCGTAGGGAAAACGGGTGGGCAGTGAAGCGCTCGAGCACCACCCTCCCCATCCTTCAAACTCTTCATCGCGGAGTTCGGAGGGGGCGCTGGGCAGCTGGAGCCGACATCAATGGGTGAGTGCGGCATCCGGAGAGTTAAACCGGACCGGGGAGGGGGCGTCTGGCGATCTCCCATCTCCCCGGTTAAAGCGGACACGTCCCGTCGGCCAGGGTCCTGTCAGCAGCAGCAGCAGCACCACCACCATCATCCCCGCCCCTGACACGTTTGCAGCGGGCTGACAGAGAGAGAGAGAGCGCTCTCCCCATTTCCCGTACACTGCCACTCTGCCACACGTTGCTGCAGCCCCGGCAGCAGCAGCATCATCTTCCCCGCCCCGCTCCCCCAACTTACTGGCCATCCGCAAGGGAGCAGACTGAGCTGTATCTCCCTCAATCCCCTTCTCATGGAGCCTGGAGTCCTATGATCTCCGACGGTTTTGGGTATATCTGTCCCATTTCAAGGCTGCATATCGGCAGCACTATCACAGGGGCGGCTTTCGAGATTACTCCCAGGCTCTGGTGCGGGGCAACACTTATGCTAAATATAATTGAACAATAGAGAAACTGTTCCTTGTTTCAAATTTATTCTATACGCCTCATGTCAAATGATATATTTATGTACATAGTTATGGACATTATAAATCCAAACACCACTCTCCCCTCCTGCACCCGGTTCCCTTTGCTGACTTCATATTTTTGTTTGTATGATAAACATTCTCGCATTGTAGAAGAAGCCTTGTACAGTTATAACTGTCGGGTGATGCCTCTGTGCCAGGCCGTGCCTTTGGTTCTGGTACAGAGTAGCGTTGAATAACTTGGATCATAATTAGTTTAGTCTCTGGTGACCCTTAAGTATCATTATCATAGAATCATCGAATCTCTACAGTGTGGAAGCAGGCTATTCGGCCCATTGAGGCCATACCGACCCTATGAACAGCATCCCTTCCAGAAGCCCCTCCCTCATCCTATCCCTGTAACCCTTCATTTACCAAGGCTAAACCACGCAGCCTGCACATCCCTGGACACTATGGGCAATTTAGCCATTCCACTGAAATATTTAAGTTTTTCTTTAAATATAAACCCAATATCTACCAATTGCTAATTTTTGCTTGACATGTATCTGTAAAATATAGAAGGTTCAGAAGGGAATTGAAAAGCAAATAAAAGAAAGAAAGCAGAGTATGAGAAGAGGTGGTCAGCCAATATAAACAGGAATGCCAAAGTCATTGATAGAAAAATCAATAAAAATGGGCAGCACGGTGGCTCAGTGGTTAGCACAGTGCCAGGGAGCCGGGTTCGATTCCAGCCTCGGGTGACTGTGTGGAGTTTGCACATTCTCCCTGTGTGTGTGTGGGTTTCTTCTGGGTGCACCAGTTTCCTCCCACAGTCCAAAGATGTGTAATTAGTTGGATTGGGAATTCTAAATTACCCATTGTGTTCGGGGATGTGTGGGTTAGGTGCATTAGCCATGGGAAATATAGGGTAGGGTGATGGGCCTGGGTGGGATGCCCTTCGATGGGTTGGTGTGGACTTGTTGGGTTAAATGGCCTGATTCCACGCTGTAGTGATTTTATAAATTTTTTTAAAAAAGATAGTAAGAGGAGGAGTAGGGCTGCCTAGGGACTTATTAGAATTTGGGATGGGGCATATTCGACGCATTAAATGAGTAGCTGGATCTGTCTTTACCAAGGAAGGAAATCCTTTCCTGCCATGGTCAATGTAGAAGTTTAAAATTAATATGTAGGAAATACTAGATAGGCAGTCTGCACCCAGAGTTGGTAAAAGCATCAGAGTCAGATGAGTTAACATCCAAGGATGCTAATGGATTTGAGAGTGGAAATTGCAGTAGTGCATAATGATTATATAGTATTCCCACCATTCTTCAACTTGGGTGGTGCCAGACAGCTGAAGAATTGAAAATTGAAAATGTTACATTGCTGTTCAAAACAGTGTGTAAAGATAAGTTGTAACAGCAGTACTGTCTTGTGTCCAGTTCTGGCACCACTCTTTAGGAGGAATGTGAAGGCGTTGGAGTTGTTATAGAAAAGATTCACAAGAACGGTTCCAAGGATGAGGAACATTACTTATGTTAGAGGCATAGATTGGTGAAGTTGGGACTTGAAGAAAAGGTTGTGAGGAGATTTGATAAGAGGTATTTGAAATTGTGAGAAGTGTAGATGGAGGAGGTTGAGAACCGGAGAGCAAAAAAAAATTGGCAAAAGAAGCAGTGGTGAAATGAGGAAAATGTTTTTCATGCAGTAAGTGATAGGGATCTGGAATGCACAGCCTGAGAACATGGTGGAGATATGGTGAATCGACTTTAGATCAGTTGAGGTTGGTTGAGTTGTTCTGCATCCTGCTGTGGTAGATACCAAATGGTACTTGCTAAACCCACAATAAAATTTCTGCTGTTATACATGATTCTGTGATTGAGTAACACTTGCTGAATATCCCAAATGCACCGATAGGTACAATATCGACCAGTTTAAGACAATCAGTTGTTTGTAATGCAGCTCATTTACATTTGTTAGAAATTACAGTTTTGTTTGTAGTGCAATCAAAAAGGAACATGTTCAAGGCTTGTGCCTTTTCTGAACTTCCAGGGTACTTTGGATGCCATTGGTTCCCCATTGGTCTGAACATTGTCATGGAGACAGCGATCAGTCAAATTGCTAACCAATCAACATCTTCTTTCTCCTGTAGGATAAATTTTTATTATCTTTTGGGATTTGGCATGTTTTTAGTTCTGATTGCAAGATGAAAAGCTTTGGAAATATGTCTTTGCTGCAGCAAAATTCAATTTCCGTACCACCAAGTAAAGATTATGTATTATTGACTTCTCTGATCAGTTGTTGCTTGTTTGTTAAATTTATATCAGTAACTGTATTTTTGATTTAGAAAGTCAATAATGAAATGTAATGGTACGTGGTGACTAGCTTTTATTCCGTTTGCTTATTAGAGTTGGGGGTTGGTTAGCTCGGTTGACTGAATTGGTTTGTGATGAAGAGTGAAGACAACAATACAACTTCAATTTCTATACTGGCTCAGGTCCATGAAGGCCCTGTCTTCTGGACCTTGTCTCCCGTTTGTGGCAAGGTGACCGTTTGATTAAACTTATCACCGGTTGTGTGTGTCACTTTGAGAGTGCAGTCTTTGGTCATGTTGGAACTATGGTTTATCTAATTCATTTATTGGAGTTATGTATTTTCCTAAATTTGCTTGGACATTAAACTCTAAAATTGTCAACTCGACTGTTTGCTTATTAGAGGACATAGCCATTTTACTGTTTCTTAAATGCGTTCACTTTGTTCGCCTTAGCAACTCTTTTGCAACTTTCTGTTGTTGATCATTTTCTGCCTCTTCTGCACAACTATCACCCATGCTTTGTTACAGTGTGGAGCTGGAGGAACACAGCAGGTCAGGCAGCATCAGGAGCAGGAAAGTTGACGTTTCGGGTTGGGACCCTTCATCCGTTTCCCCCAGCTCCACACTGTATTGACTTTGACTTCCAGCATCTGTTGTTCTTGCTAAATAAAAACCAAAAGAACTGTGGATGCTGTAAATCAGGAACAAAAACAGAAGTTGCTGGAAAAGCTCAGCAGGCCTGGCAGCATCTGTGAAGAAAAAAAGATCAGAGTTAACGTTTCGGGTCTGGTGACCCTTCCTCTGAAGTTCTGAGGAACGGTCGCCAGACCTGAAACGTTAACTGATTTTTTTTCTTCACAGATGCTGCCAGACCTGCTGAGCTTTTCCAGCAACTTCTGTTTTTGTTTCTACAGTTCTTGCTATCTCCTGTCACCCATGCTTCCTTGTTATGAAACGTTTGAAAGTATTGTCTTTAGATTATTAAATCATAATCTAGTAAACTGATTTAAAAGGTTCAGGGGAAAGTCCATTCGGAATTTTGCCATCCAATAGAATTAGCTGGTACAGGTTTACTGTTAAAATAGTACCAGTATTGGAGCTTATATGCACAATGGAAATATCGAGCAATCTGTGTTCACACAGTGAATTGCTGGCAGTTTCTTTCCATTTTAAAATTAACTAGTAGATCTTATTGACCAAAGTTCTATGAAACTATTGTATGAAAGTTCAAACCTTAAAGTTTTGGTTATTGCTAGATGTAGGTGTAATGAGAATTAAGTAAACTGGGACTCCAGTCTCTCTGCCATGTGTATCAAATTTTTGAATCTGCAGGCAATTATTGCTATATTTTTGAATAATCTTTTGCATTCTTCTTCATTACTTTTTTGATAAAGTGAAATTTAAATGATACCAACCTGCATGGCAATCATAAAACAGTCATGTGTTCCTGGAGCAAAAATAGTTAGTGGCACAAGTGAATTGAGGGTTTTGGGAAGTTGTTAATATAGTCCAGTTCCCCAAGTGAAGTTGTGAACATTTCTATTTTATTGTCAGGAATTGATGCTTGTTTGCAATGGTAAGACTCTCAATATGCTGCCTACCAAAGTGTCATAAAGGAAGCTGTAATAGCTGTCACATTTGCAAAGTTGCTAGCTAACCTCAGAGTGCACCACCTAACAAAAATGTAAATTTTCAAGACATGAGATGCCAGGGTTGTTTTGAATGTTTTTCAGAGTTTGCGAATACTAATATTTTATCAGTGCAGTTTTTGTAAGTTGTGTGTGTGTGAGTGAACCTTTTCTTGCTTTCCTGTCCTTGGCCTACTTCTGCAGAATAAAACTCTTTACTGTGTTACAATACTGTCTCCTGGAATAGATTAGCACCATTACTAGTGGGTGATTTGTTCAACTTTATCTGATTAGTCAGCTTCATATCTGTGCGAAATTTTGAATTTGTTGTACTAAGTTGTGGGTAGTTTTTAGCTGCGTGACCAAGCTGGAGAGAATGTGAACCACCTTGGAGGAAACGTATTGTTTTGATTGATTGATTGGAACTCCTGTCACAATGTATTATCAAATTCAATCGTCAATTTTGATTGTGCGTATTTTTGAGGTTTGATCACATGCCCACCCAACTCCACCCATTCCATCCTTGTACTCCTGCTACTGGGCATCCTGTTCACCCTTGTGATACATTGACTGCCTTCTGGAATTGGAAAATAAATTGCCTGGTTGTTTGATTGACATTTAGCTGTCATCCAACTGTTTACTCCCACCTCCCCGGCACCCCCACCTTCAATATTTTTATAGTTAATGAACAAGTATTCAAAGCAAATGTGAAAAAACTGTTTTTTAGCATTCCTTTTTAACACACTCCCACCCTGCTCCCCACTTCCTGAACATTATGTTCAGCTGTGCTCTTACCCGACAACTCTGACAACCGCACACAGATCTTAGGAAGCCATCTGGAGGAACTGGACATATTTCTAACCTGTGAAATTAATTTGTATGTTTGTAGAGTGTGCGTGTTTGTGGCTAGGTTCTTAATTAAAATAAAAAATTACATTTTAATCACTGGGGGAGAAGAACTATCTTTGTACGTGCATTTGAGCCAGATGCTGTCAAACTTAAAAAATAGTAGGAATAGGCCATCCAACCCTTTGAGCCTGCTCAATTCAATGAGATTATAGCTGATTTATGGTCTAACTCCATACACCAGCTTTTGGCCTATATCCCTCAATGCTTTAGCTGAACAAAAATTAATCTATCTTAGATTTAAAATTAAAACTGATCTAGCACCAGCTGTCATTTGTTGAAGAGAGTTCCAAACATCTACCACCATTTGTGTGCAGAAGTGCTTCCTAACACCTTTTCTGAATGGTCTGGCCCTAATTCTCAGACTATGCCCCTTGGTTCTAGGTTCCCTAGCCAGTGGAATTAATTTATCTGCCCTGATTTTTCCTATTAGACTTAGAACATTATGGGTGATCTGATCAAAATTCTATAGAAAATACCCCTAATTTGTATAATCTCTCCTCATAATTTAACCTCAAATCCAGGTATCATTCTTGTAAACGTACGTTTTACTGCCTCAAAGGCCAATATATCCTTCCTAAGGTGTGGTTATAGCTGATCATCCGACTCTGTTCCCTGTTCCCACTTTCTTCCCATACCTTTTAGCTCCAAGAACTATCTAACTCCTTCTTGAAAACATCAATTTTTCTGTCCTCAACAGCTTGCTGTGGCGGAGAATTCCACAGTCTCACCACTCTGGGTGAAGAATTTTTTTCCAAATCTCAGACCTCATATCCCTAGACTCTGACCTCTGGTTCTTGACTCTCTGGTCATTGGGAATATCTTTCCTGCATTTACTCTGTGTAATCCTGTTAGAATTTTATATGTTTGTAAGAGATTTCACCCACACACAGCACATGCACATCTCATTCTTCTGCCAGTGAATATAGTCCTACCTGATTCAGTGTCTCATAATTTGTCTTGCTATTCCAGGAATCAATCTGGCAAACCTTTTATTGTGCTCCCCCCCTCAGAAAAGGAGACCAAAACTGTATACAATACTCCAGGTGTTGTCTCACCAAGGCCCTGTAAAATTGCAGCAAGACATCCTTGCTTGTGTACACAAATCCTCTCACTATGAGACCAATATGTTATTTGCCTCCTTCACCACCTGCTACACATTCATTTGTACAAGGACACCCATGTCATGTTGCACCTCACCCTTTCCTATTCTATCACCATGCAAGTAATAATCTGCTTTCCTGTTTTTACTACCAAAGTGGAAAACATCACACTTACCCACAATGTAATTCATCTGCCATGCATTTGCTAATTCTCTCAACTTGTCTAAATCGTGCTGAAGTATCTGCATCCTCCTCACCAAGTAACCCTCTTACCCAGCTTTGTGTCATCTGCAAATTTGGAGATATATCTAGTTCCCTCATCTAAATTATTCATATATATACTGTGAATAGCTGAGGTCAACGCATTGATTCCTGAGGTGCCCCATTCTCACTGGCTGCCACTCAGAAAAAGACCGATTTATTCCTACCCTTTGTTTCCTGTCTGCCAACCAGTACCCTATCCATGTTAGTACACCATCCCCAATCCCAGAATAATGGAGCAAGCTCAATGAGTGCAAAGAAGTATTCCTGCTCCTATTAAAGATGTTATTCACTACTAGCATTAAATATTTTCTAATTAACTTGTTCAGAGATGTTATTGGACCATCTGAAGCAGATGGGACTTGAACTCTGACCTCCTGGTCTAGAGATATGGACACTATCAATGCATCCCAAGATTATCTCCTCATCTGTCACTTCAGGAACAATGCTCTAGCGATGAGTCTTGGCCTAATGGTTGCAGCATGAGGCCTGCCTGTCTAAACATGATTTAGACCAAGGCCAGAGGTTTTCCAAACAAGTTTACTCATTCACTTAGGCTGTGTTTTATGCTATATTTTAAAAATACTTTTGAGGTTTGACATCGGATTGTACTGGGTTTGTGTTGAATGCTAAATTGACTGTCTCTCTTTGCTGACATGGAAACTGGAAAAGAAGCTGGAGCAATAAAACTTTACTGTTTCAAGTTCATAAATTTAAGCAAAAATCTGAAATGGAACAGTTTTCCTTCTCTAAGCTAATTCCAACATTGAACGTGAGATGGAACAATAAAGTGTGGGCCATGGGTTTGTACCAATGACCATCTGATCATCTAATGTGACAAACTAAATTGTGCCTCTTTGCAGCTGTAAATTAAGGGAAAATGGATATCATGCGTGGAAATGCAAGACACGGTCTATCTAATTGGGATGAATTCTGCTAGGAGATTGCAGGAGTTGGATATAAAGTTGCCAGATCTGAACTTTATCTTGTATAACATGAAACTGTTTGGAGTTATGTCGCACAATATGACCATTTGGTGTTCAGTCAGTGGAGTAATTTGACATTTGTTAAAATTTTCTTTTTATTTTTATTCCAGTGGAAGCGATTGTTGAGTTTTCTTATGAAGCTCAGCATGATGATGAGCTGACCATTTCTGTAGGAGATATTGTAACTAATATCAAGAAAGAAGATGGAGGCTGGTGGGAGGGTGAACTCGATGGCAGAAGAGGTTTGTTCCCTGACAACTTTGTAAGAGTGAGTATACATCAGTCACTGTCATTATGTAATATTTGGTGTTGGCAGATATTAACAGTGGAGGTCTTTTAGTAGAGAAAGCTGATGCAGTCTATTCTGTTTGTAGAAGTATTTTAGCAAAAAAAATGTTCTTGCAACCTGATCAAGATCTAGTATCAATGCACGTCTTCCATTCCCACAGTAAAGGCTGCGTTATGTTTGCTGCTTCCTTCTTACTAAGTGTGCTGCTTGTGTTGTTAACAGATGTTTCCAAATTATTTACTGAAATGTTCCATTAGCTGTTACAAGTTACTTACCCAGAAGTTGCAAGAGTCTTCCAATTTTCAAAGTAGTCTAAACTGAGCAAGATTAAGAATTTTGCATTCTAGATTTACCCTTAATTTACTTGCTGTTAAAATCAATCTTGAAGTGTAGTTTGATTTATGAAGTAGCACTGAATTGCTAATCAAAAGGGTTTTTTGTAAGCAGTGTGTTTTTAAACTGTCTTCTGGAGCATGCAATTTAAATTTGGAGTGAAATCGTACTGTCACTCAGACTTACCACTTCCTTCCTTCAAAGTTATGAAAATGAATTGTTTTCATAATCCGAACTTTTCCTGACCAAAACTGTAACCGTAAGCTACATTCATAATACTGTTTTGAGGCCATGTTTACAAAACTGTTATTTCAAGTCTCTGCACTTGTAAAACTATATATTCTTGAATATGTTGTCAACATTCATGTGACCTGTTTTTTGAGTTACCAGTTTCATCAGGAAGATGTATTGAAGTAACGCTTTCTACCTCTGAGCATCAGCTAGTTGTTAACATCTGCACTAGTGAAAAGAGCAGGAAACTGTGGTAAATAATTATTTGCTTGGTTGATTTCATCTGTGTTTAAAATGAGCTGGTAATGTAGAAATGAAGAATCCTTTTTGTAAGATTCTGGTTATATCTTGTTAACAAACATTACTTTGTGAACCTTAGCAGTAAGCTCACATATATCATGGTTCACACACAAATATTAATACAGTTGAGCATAACAGTTAACACACATCATGCACCTATGATGCAAAATGATTTATATGTAAAAGCATCATAATCTATAAAGGTCAGAAGGGAATTGTGTTCAATTATTAGCTGATGCTAAATCAGCAAATCCCAAATTGAGTTGATGAGGGGCATATTGATGTTGGTTTTAATGTTGCTGGCTCAGAGAGTTCCATGCAGCTAGAGTTTTTTGTTTGTAATTAACTGCTTCGTATCCTATGCTGAAAAACACTTTGAAGGATACAGCCCTAAACATCAGGGATGCGAAAGTTGTGCCATTTTGTGCATTCTTGAATTGGTTTTGAGATCTTGTGGCAGAGTGGCATCCTGCACCTTGATGCGAAGATTTGGGCTTGTCTCTCGCCTGCTCTAGAGATGTGTCATAACATGACCAAACAGGTTGATTAAAAATATCTGAAAGCTAAAGTGGGGGATGGGTAGGAAGCGGTAGGACAGAAGGCCCGGAACAAAATGGACCCAAGGTGCAAGATGTGGTGCGTGAGTCTAAGATGCTGGACATTGTGTCAGGGGTGTTTGCGTCTGGCATTTTAAAAGATTGATGACATTATTTTCGTGATACAAATTTGCAAATTTGATTTATTGCATTTAGTAGAAATTGTACCCTTCAATGATCAGATGTGATAGAAGAGGTTAGTGACTTGAGGGATTTGGTTAGCTGAGTAGAGCTTATTATGAAAATAACTTTGGATTGGCTGCAGTTAGGTCTGTTACTTGTATTCTTGAATTTTATGAAATACAGAAAGTGAGAACAAATAAAGTCACACTTTATTTTCTGTTTTGATACTGTATATCCTTGCAATTGATTTAATGACTAATTAAGGAGATAGAAGAACATTTTTCTAATTCCACACTTGCTTAAAGGCGATGGATGGTTAAGCTTTATCTCTACCCAGCTATCTAATTTCCTGTGTGAAGGTATTATAGCATATGTTTATGCTTCAGAGACAGTCTGGGATAGTTCCAGAATATCACTTCATGATCAGAATAGCTTGTAAACCACAATGTTCAGTCCTTTGAGAGTTGTTGCCGATTGGAATTGTGATGTTCCTGTCAAGTCCCAAAATGAACATGTCAGTGCAGCCAAAATCCACTTTCCTGAACAGTTATACAGATTTAAAAGATTTGCTTATTTCTTTGTGTCCCTTGTGATTTTGGAACAGTAATCATCTTTTCCTTTCAGAATCTTTACCTCTTTTCTCTGATTAAAATAATTCTCTTTTACTTAATATGTTTCAGCCCTTAGTATGTATTTAAGATTAGAATAGATTTAAAGATCATTTAAAAACAAAATTCAACAACACTGCTTGTGCCTTTTTGACCTTTGTGTATTTCAAAAGTGGACGTGTGTGTGTGCTTGAGCATGGGTGTGCATTTTACTGTTTCAACTTAACTTCACCTTCAAGCTAGTCAGTGAACAGTAAATACCCATTGAATTACTTTCTTTATATATCTCACCTGAAGGACTTGGCTTGCATTTATGTAGCTTTTTCAGTGTAGAAAAATATTTCCATATGCTTCAGAGGCCTAAATGAAAATGGGTCTCATGCCAAAATAGCAATATTTGAGAGGGATAATCAAAGGGGTGAATTGTAATCTGCCTCAAAGATGGAAAGGAATGCAAAAAGATGATTATAAGGAGGAATTCCAGGACTTGAGGGCTGATTTTGCAGTTCAGGATTAGGGGAATACAAGAAACTAGAGTTGTAGTCCTGGAGAGTTTTGGGCAATTCTTATTGGAGGAGAATAGAGATGGAAGGGATAGGAAATAATTTTATATGTGAAGATAGAAGGATGACCAGAAGAGTATTGGAGTATTTGGGGCAAGAATATGTGGGTTGGGTTGGGTACCTATTTAAATTTGGTGAAAATGTAATGCAACTCCAACATGCCAGCTTTTGGTGCAATAAGCTACATGCAAGTAATTTGCTTTTTTTAGCGGGCACTCAGTAGCGGTGGCAGGAAGCTGAATAAGATGCTATTTAATCCCGTAGCTACATGCAAATGAAGGGATTTCAAATTGAATTCAACCCTTTGGAATTAATTTCCCCAGTGTGGGTTTTCCAGGATATGTGCCAATGAAAAGGTAAGTTTCAGATGGAGTTTATGGAGGGGCCGTTGAAACTTCATATTATTTGATCTCAATCAATATTCAGTTATGACTTCATTGTCATTTCCTTCTGGCAGGCAAAATATCTGCATAGAGGTTTTCATCACCCTGTGTTAGCTAATTTTTGTTGGTACATGAACAAATAATGCTTTGATTTTAAAGTTCTCATCTGAATTTTAGTTCTGCCATGACCTTTTTTTTTCTTCCCCCATCTCCCTCTATATTTGTATTCTTCACCAGTTCCAGAATCTTCAATTACCTGTGCTCAGCTTTTTCTAGCCTTGAGCAATTTTAATTATTTGGTCATTGGTGGCTGTGAGTTCTGCTGCCCAGATCCTAAGCATAGATATTGAGGATCAAAATTTCAATCTCTCTTTTTACTCCTTTTGAAACATTTTAAAACCTAGCTGTTTGGCAGAGCTTTTCACCATTTACCCTATATGGCCTAATGTGGCTCGATGTCCAATTTAATTTTAAAGGTTCATATGAAGCATGGTGAGACATTATATTACAAAGTTGTTGCTGTCACATCAACACTAGGAGAATAAGAGTTCCCTCGAATGTTTTTGATAGTACATGTGAAGAAGATCACCAGTCTCAGCAGCAATGATGTATGCTGGTGGTATCAGGAAGTGCATAAGTGAGGTTTAAAGTCTACTTTTTGGACCTGGTAATATTGCATTACTAGTTCCATTTGCTTTTAATTTCTTTGCTTCTACTTATTCCCGCTGACCTCCTATAGCTGTATCTAGGGACTTGCAGTCTGTACATAAACACATTAGGTATCTGACTTGGATTGTTTGATGGGGCTAGGAAATAGATCAACTTGGAATGTGATGGTGATAAGTTGACTAAGTGCATATTCACACTTACTACTGATTATTTTAATCAACGAAATTCAGACATGTTATGACCCACCACGTGAAGCAGGTAAGACTTGAACCTAGGCCTTCTGACGCAAAGTTAGGGACACTGTCATTGTACAACAAGGGCCCTTCACTTTTATTTCATTGTTTGGTTTCCCACTAATACAGGGTACCATTGATTGCAAGCTAAGCAACATCATGGAAACTACAAGTTTCTATCAGTTGCAAAGGTTTTTATTATATCAGTGTGCAGTTGGTGTACAACGACAGGGGTCATGCAGCTATGTGCCAGGTTTCCTTAGAGCCACCGAAATGCTTTCACAGAAGAGTCAATCAAGTATTGCAGGCAACTTGTTTCACAGAGCAGATTTCAGAGATAGCTGATGTGAAGTTCCTCCTTCCAATTTAGCTTATGACACCTATGAGGACCCCTATGACTGAAGCAGTGTAAGTGTGAACACCAGAAATACATCACTACCAAGTGTTGTTGAGCAAATGATTTGACCTGTTGAAGATTCACTTCAATTGGATAGGCTTGAAGGTGATATTTACTTCTTGCCATGTGGTATGGCTAGAATTATAGCGACACCTGCTGTCTACCCTGCCCAGTATTGTACAACAGAGTAAGTTCAAGGTGGCAAAGAATGAATGTGCTTATAGGACCTCCTTGGACGGGAAGAGATGATGTATCGAAATGCGGCTCCCATTGCCAGAGCAGCTGAGGGAATCACTGGCTGGGGTTCCGTCACATCTGGCAAATTCAGTTTGATTATTGTAATTGGAGCTAGTACTAAATGAAACTCACATTCACTAATGCTGAGCCCCCTTATTTCACTACCATTTGCATTAAATAGTGCTTAAACCACTCATTCAGCCATTGGGATCTGTCATGTACTGATATAATGAATCAACTGAGAGTTATTTGGTGCTCGGTCCTTGATAATGGGAAATATGAGGAAATAGTGCTAATCAAATATTACATGACCTTTTTTAAAACAAAAATTAATGGTATGAGGTTGTAGACATGCTCGCCAAGCTGGTGGGTTTGATTGCAAATGTTTCGCCCCCCTGCGAGGTAACATTGTCAGTACACTTCCGGTGAAGCATTGGTGTTCTGTCCCGCTTGTTATTTATATGCCGTGTTTGTCAGTGCCTCAAAGTTGCTGATCTTTCGCATCCCCTTTTGTTGATGAAAACTTTGTGGTTCAGCTGAGAAAGTTTTGCGCACCTGCCTATTCTTTGGATTCTGCAGATTTCTGTCAAGTGTCTGCTTATGTGCACTTGTGAATTGCAACTCACCAGGAGAAAACTCACCAAACTGTTGCAGTGGATCTCACAAAGTGAGAGTATTTGTGTTAGTGGATGGCTATTAAGCCCTGTGACAGCACTCCGAAGCAAAAAGGGCCACTGAGAAATCATTCTTGTGCCTTTCTAGTGACGTTGCGTGCAGGTGTTAGACGACAAAGAAAGAAGTGTGAATTAAATTTGACAAAGTACTGCTTTTGACCATCACCAGAATGTAACCCTTTCCTTGTTCTGCTCTTGGTTAAGTGGAGTCAGAGATATCTTTAATTTGCTCAATCATTGGAGTTCCTAATCTCTCTCTTTCCATTGGAGATTTGAGTTTGGCATGCCCTATATTCATGGCGTTTCCTTAGTGTTTAGCACCGTCTTCTGTAAGTAGCAAAAATTTGCCTCTGTTGTACATGCCATGTTTGTCATGTAGTTGCCTGCGGAGGAAGTGTATTAAGTGGGCAGGTGAATGTCATATAAAGAATGAAGTGAGTTGCAGTGGTGGTTGGATATGTGAGGAGCTGAGGAAGAATAGATGCTGCATCAACTTAATATTTTGAGAGGAGTGATTTCATGGAGAATGCTGTCACTGTCGTGATGATTCCCTCACAAGCAGTGTTGAAAGAATTGTAAAAATGGTAACATGAGACACAGATTGGGTTGTAGGCAAGATAGTGACTGGAATTGGTTTAAAACTGGAATGTAGCACAAGCGCAATTTGGAAGGCAATACAGTGTGTGACAGATTTGGAAACTTCAAATAGGCATATAGTGAAAGAATGACTTGGAACTGGAATTTAGCATGTTGGAAAGGGGGAGCTAAAACTAGAATATGGTGCATTAGAGTGGCATGGAATTGGAGGTGGAAGGTGACATGCATGAGAGGGGTGAGGAGTTGAAACTGGAACAAGAATTTTGTTCGATGAGACTATGAATGAGAATTGGAACTAGAACATGGCCCACAAGAATAGCAGCAAATTAGACCTGGACATGTAACAGGAACATGGACCATAACGGTGGTGAGGAATTGAAAACTTGAGATGGGATGTGAGGGAGTACGTGAGTGTGACGGAGAGCTGGAATATGGCACAGGAGAGTGGTGGCGAATTGTAACTTGAATGTAGCCCGTCCGAATTGCTGTGAATTGGTTGTGGCCAGTGAGTGGTGGCAAATTGGAATCTGAGCTGGAACATTGTGTGCGCATGAGCAACAGATAGGGAGTTGAAATCGGTCACTGAGCTGGAATGTGGTGCATGTGCATGAGAGAGAGAGAAAACCAAGCTGCAGTGTGGCGTGTATGGACATGAGAGATGGGGTAGTTGGAATCGGAGTTGGAAGGTGGTGCGTATGAAAGATAGCGAGTTGAAATATGAACCAGAGCTGGAATCTGGAATGCAAAAGAAGTGACCAATTGGAATCTGTACGGGAACGCAGCATGTGATAGGCGGGAAATTGAATTTGGGATGGGACTGGGACACGATGTGGGAGCTAGACCATGGTGTGTGTGAGAGATTATGAATTCAAGCCAGATTATTTTGTGTAAGAGAGGTGTGAAATTGGAATGAGAATAAGGTATTAGAGAATGGTAGTGAATTGGAACTGAAACATGACCTGCAAGAATGCTGGTGAATTGAAGCTGGGCCATGGCCTACGAGACTGCTGGGGAATTGGAATTGGAGCTTGAATTTGGCATGTGAGAGAGAGGTGGGGAATTGGAAATGAAACTGGAACGACATTCACTACTCGCAATCATTAGTAGTTAGGAATTGGACCTGGATCGGGATCATGGCTGAGTGCTCAAGTGGCGAGGAATTAGACCCAGAACCGGAACACAGTAGACTGTGGAAGGACCGGGGAATCGAAACTGAAGCTGGAATGTGCTCTGCAAGAATGGTGGGGAATTGGACCTGGAATGGCAACGCTGTCTGTGAAAGTGGCGATGAATTGGACCAGGGTGTACAAGAGTGCCAGGGAATTGGATTTGGAGCTGGAACTTGCCATTGCAAGAATACCAGGATATTGGAATTTGAGCATGGTGTATGAGAGGCAAGAATAGGAATTGAAACGGTGTACAGGGGATGTGGAGAATTGGAACTGGACAGGGTTGTAATGGATTGTGCAAAAGTGGAGGGCAATTGTAACTGGAACATGGCCCATGGCCTGCAAGGGTGATGGCGAATTGGAATTGGTCTATGGTGTGCAATAGTGGTAAGGAATTGGAACTGGAATGGGACTGCATGTGTAAGAGAGAGCATGGTAGGAACTGAATATGGAGTGGGAGAGAGACGGAGAATTGGAGTGTGTGTGTGTGTGTATATACACATGTTAGAGAACTGGAGTTTGAATGGGCTGTGTGTGCATGCGAGCAGTGGGGAACGTGGCGGTGTGTGCAAGAGCATCCTGGACCATATGCCAGAACAGTGGGGAATGGGGCTGGACCGTGTCATTGGTAGAGAGACCGGGAATTGCTTGTGCATCGTGGCTCGAATAGTGACAGGGAACCTGACCTGGATGATGGAGTGAGGGCAGCGGGCAACTGGAACTGGACTACAGAGCGTGAGAGTGTCATTGAACTGGAACTGGATGGTGGTGTACAAGATGTGCGGTGATTTGAATTTTCACCTGGAGCCGGAATGTAGCGCATGGGAGAGGAAACTGGAAACATGGCACAGTGCACAAGTGACAGGGAATTAGCATCTGGATCTGGAATGGGACTGTAGCATGATGCATGAATGTGTTGGGAAATTGGAATTGGCATGCGTTTGTGGTGGGAAGTTGGAGCGTGGTGTAGGATTGGTCCAGAATTGGAATTGGAACTGTAGCTGGACGTGGTGTGCAAGAGAGTGGTGCTGAATTGGAACGTGAACGTGGCAGCAATTGGAATTGGAATGGGAACGGGAATGTAATACGCAAGAGTGGCGACGAATTGGAACGGAATACTCGAGAAAGAAGGGAATCAGAATGGGAATGTGTCACACGAGAATGATGGGTACTTGAAATGGGAACGTGGTGGGGAATTGCAATTGGAATGGATTCAGTCACGGTTTGCTGCTTTTAAACTGTTGCCGCTCTGTTGCTCCCCATCGGCTATGTGCTGTTTCTGATGAACAAACCACTAGCTGTGTCAGGTCTTGATCTGACATTTGGTTCAACCTTGCTGCCTTCACATCCTCTTTCTCTTCTCTTCTCCTCCCCCTGCCCCCTCCCCCATACCAGCCAAACAACCTGAACTTTCTGCGATGGCACTCTTGTTTGTTTCAACAAGAACTGACTGCAGACCACTCATCCCAGTCTACTTCCATGTTGGTGACTGCAGGCCACTCTTCCCAGGAACCTCAA